AAGAGGAGCGGAGGCCCCCGCCCTGGCCCTGAGCCGCCGCCGTGCGGGCCGCCCGCGCGGGCGGCGCGCACCCCGCCGCCGGGATTCGACTTTGCAGGCCGCCGGCGACCCAGAATCGGTCGATGTTGCACGAGCTGGCGCTTCGGAGGTCTGGACGCCCGAAATGGGCACGGAAAGGATTGGTACGATGCGCAACGGCAGTTCTTGTTCATTCTGAACAGGGCTCGCTGTCCGCGCCGCCGCGGCCTGCGTCCATTCGAGACAGGAGGCCGCCCGCCCAACAGCGGCCGCTGTTGGTTTGGGACAACATTTGTTGTTGGGCATTGTACCCATTCTTTCCGTACCCATTTCGGGCGTCCAAAGGAGGGGCCCGATTGTTCAAGGTTGAACGGTCCCCGCGGTGTCAAAACCCAACGTCGGGGTCGACACGACTCGAGTCCGCCGTAGGCTTCTGTCGGGCCTGTCCCTCTAGAGGGGGAATGTTTAGAATCAGCCCAAAAGTAGTCTGGGGACCGTGTTTCAGTATTTTGGGGCATCTTTTTATAACCACATTTTTATAGTATGTTCCATGTTCGTCCAAAGTCCCCCTGTAGGGGAAACAGGCCCGACCTGACCGTAGGCCGCCCGCGCGGGCGGCGCGCACCCCGCCTCTCTCCGCGAGCGCGCGCGCGGCTCGGCGCCGGCGGCCGCGCGGGGCCCCCCGCGGCGCAGCGGCGGCCGGGGCCGGGCGGCGCGGCGGCGGCCGGCGAGGTTCCCCGGGCTCGGCAGGGTCGAGTCGGGCGTGTCCCTTTGCAGTTGTGGAAGTCGACTAAAGGGAGAGGAAGCGTGCTGCCAAATCATTCCCATATGTCTAAAACCATGTGTTCAACATCTCTTACGTATGTGAGGTCAGGTTTGAAACGTTTGTAGAACATGTGTTACGCATGTTTAACACATGTTTCATTCAATGATTGGATTGTTAGAGTGTCCAGTGTCATGGCATCCACAACTTTACAGGAGGAATCTTCGAAACGAGCCCCAAAAATATGGGGGGGTCAAGCTTTTCCCGATTTTTGAATATGTTGGAGATGTTTTTTATATATGCTCTCTCTTTCCTCCAGAATCCGCCTGTAGGAGGACATGCATGCCCGACCTAACGGTAGGGGGAGCAGGGCACTTCTCGAGGTCTCCTAGATGGGGACCGATTCGTCGAAGAAGAGCTATCAACAAAAATTGTTGGCGCTCCGCGCGGACTTGTTGGATCCGCGCTGGGCCCCCCTGGGCGGCGCCTCCGACGCCGCCCCTGGCGCGCTCCGCGCGCCAGGGAGGGACGGTACAGCGCAGATCCAAGAAATCCGTTCGGAGCGCCACAAGTTTATACTTATGTCGTTTTTCTTTATTCGTATATGGGGTCCGATTAGATGGGGTCGGAGGATCGCGCCGTGTCGTCGATGCATCGGCGACGCGGCTCGATGTGGAGCCGGATTTTCTCCGCGCTGGCGTCGCCGATGCATCGCCGATGTCGCCGATGCATTGCATTGCCGAAGCATCGGCGATGTGTCGCCGATGCATCGGCGATGCGGCGCGATCCTCTGGCCCCATCTGTTCCTACCCTATCGATGAGGCCTCGATGCAGATGCCGCTGCTCGTCCTGCTGGGCCCTCGTCGCCACGACGGGACTCTCCCCCAGGTCCTGGCCGGAACGCACCGCTGGAGAGAACCCAGGGAGCAGCGGCATCGGTATTTTGCTTAATCCCCCCTGCACCGGAGCATCGCTCGGACGTGTGCATTTTTCCTTCGGCGAGGGCCATCGAGGAGCATCCTTGGTCATCTGGCGAAAAAACCACGCACGACCCCCCCAAAAAAACAGGAAATGGACGTCCGAGCGATGGCCAGGAGACGCCCCGACGTTGGGAGCCCGCCGGCGTGGGGTGCGCCTCCGCCCGCACCCGAGGGCCCCGGTGCCTGCCTCGACCGCGACGCGCCGGCGGGGCTCCCCCCCGGCGGCGTGCTCCGCATGGCGCGCGGGCCCGGGCCTCCGCCAGCCCCGGCCTCTTCGAGATGCGGGGCCCCGGGAGCTCCCGTCGCCCGGAGGCGGTGAGGAGTCGGCAACACCCCAACATATTTATACTATATGTGCGTCGCCCCCCCAGGGGCGACGCGCGCACCGAGAAATCTTATAGTATATGCGTTGTGGCGGGCGCATTCTGGCCACACCGCTCGGGAAACGATATACTACAAGATGGGGTATACTATATGTTCGGGTCGGACGCGCGTGTCCAAGGATGACATATAGTACTAGTACGTCTTTGTGCATCCCAAGGAGGGGGGTCCATATGCAGGTTCCGATCGCTGTGATCGCCGAAGGCCCAGGCCCCCTCGGGTTCATGACAGAATCGTGGCGGGAGGTGTTGTGCTGCTTCCGGCCGCTGGGCGGCCTTGTACTGGCCCTCGGGGCCGTGAAAGGACGACTCAGGATGAAAAACCGGTCCAGGGGAATGGGTCGAGACCTCCAAGGGTCGACGTAATGAACGAATCATGACGTCGGGGGTCTTGGCAGGTTCCTCGCTATGATCGCCGAAGAAACATTGTCGTAACCATAGCCTTTTTGGAAGGTCCGCGCGTATTTCTCGGAACTGCGCTGAATCACTCGGGCGGCGCCTCCGGCGCCGCCCCTGGCAGGCCCTGGCGCTGGAGGCGGGCCAGGGGGGGAGGGTCCAGCGCCGATCCAAGAAGCTTGCGCTGACCTCCGAGTGTGTTTCAGCGCCGATCACATGTTTCTACGTCAGATTCCCAGCGCCCCAACAGGACCATCAAAGGACGCCTCGGGATGATAATTTTGTCCAGGGGAGACCCCGACCCTTGTACCCCTTTCCAAATCTCCCAGGGTTCGGCCCTTTCATCCCTGGCCTTTCTCTCGATTGAGGAGTCTGAGTAGGAGAAGGAACCATCCAGGGCGACTTCCGACTACCACAACATCGACCTTGCGACGTACTACGGAGATGGAAGCAGACGCGGGCATCACTTCCACTGGGCGCTTCGACTATACGACATATCATACTACTGTGACCTCATACGATGTAGCGACGGCCAACCTTTCGCACCAGGAAGTCTACAAGATCACGGCAGTTGGCACCACAAGGCCGTTGTGATTTCGTTAGAGGAACTATCGATCGACAGCAACCACAATTGTGTTCGACTCAAGCACCCACACATTACAACCACGACGGTACAGATATTACCTCAAACAGACACTGAACAACATCCACCGGCAACACATCACCACCCATTACGACCTCGCAGTTGATGAGAACAGCAGCATAACCTCGCGACGCCAGGACACCGATGATAGTATACATAATAACTTGCTCAATGACCAACGGCAACAACAATATTGCAACCAGCTCAGGGTCACGATGACGAACAAACCTACTAGCATATTCACGGCACACATCGGCAGAAACCGCCGACACATTACGCCACCAATGACGCATGAGCAGCTCTTGGCGTCGAAGTACCACCAGCACCAGACAACACCATACAGTAACTCAACGAATTGACAGGGATTTTGAGACAACCGTCGCCGCCGACGCAGCCACACATGCCACCGACTCGATACAATCTACTGGCACCCATACCAGCAAGCCCAAAGTGGCCCATGGCACTCGGTGAACGTTCACCAACCGCCATCACTACCATCGCCCCGCAGCGCCGTACAGTCTCAGTCCTACCGTGAGCGCGCACGATCGGGTCCGCAGCGATCGCGCACATGCCGCACCCCAGCACCCCATGAGCGACACTTACAAATCTACGCCAGCGAGGAAGACTGAAGGCTACCGCACGGACACAGGCGAGGACCACCCGCACTACGACAAGCTGCAGAAGCAGCTAGAAGAGCGTCGCCAGGCAGAACGGACAGATCCCAAACAACAGGACATGCTGCGGAGGCGCTGCGAGGGGCACAAACTCCCCACGCCACCACGCCACCGATCACTGTGCACCGGCTTCCGACTTCCGAAGCTACAGCGCGGCCAAACCGAGCTGCCGGCCCCATCACCACCTCCTACCCCTCCACCCAAACCATATATGTCAGTGCCATCGCATGTCCCAATGGCCATTCCATCCAGTATCCAGTGCAAAAGTACCCAGACCAGCGACCATGACGAACCAATGGATAGCAGCCGAGTGCGACAACGCAGGGCCACCACCACCTACACTAATGGCCACTCCCAAAAGTGCACACGCAACCGCCGACGACCCGTGGCCAAATGACGATAGTGACAGCGACTACTACAGCATATGGCCCACGCCATTTACACTGGCATCACAACCATCACACGCGCAGCATGCTATGCACTGCCCACCATGATGGGCAGCATACCGCGCCATTGAAGAAGGCGTGGAAGAAGGAGCTACGTGACCTACTACAACGAGCAGGACACTATCCACACTTATCGGTTCCCCAGCAATGATCTGTTCCGCGGCAAAGGTACATCGGGACATTGAACGGCGAGTCTTTCGTCAGCAGCCATTGCCCACGCGTGCTTCCACATCCGCCGCTTCGACCAGACCACCAGGCGCCAGTGCTATCCCAGTTCGCGATGCCGCCAGCAGGGTCATACAAGGGAATCCTCCTCAAGAACGCGACTAAAGCAGAGCTACATTTAACGCCATCGCCACCGCGACTCGCAGTAGCGCCTAGGATGAGATTGGGAGGCTCGGTCGACGGCATGCAGGACAGGCACCGCGCCGACCTCGACTTCCGCGCCGACGTAGCACTGTTCAATCAACACATCCCTGATAAGCTCACGCTACACAAGACAGACCCCGACGCCAGAACCACTGGGTCACATGCAAAAATATCACAGTGGCCACGCACCGTCTTGGGAGGAGACTAGGCAGTGGATGCACTTGGAACGGCGGCGGAATTGACCGGGATCAGCGGCAGCGACGAGACACTATCGCGGCAATCCGCATGCCGCATCTGCGGCGCTTCGGAAATCAAGTTCCCGCGCCAGCTGCGCAGCCGCCAGCGCGACAACCTCGCGAACGCCGCGTGAGATCGAACAGGCATTTTTACCAGTGGAGGCGCGGATGTCCGACGCCGCGGAACAGAGTCACGCCCTGGACCGCGCGAGAAGCCGCGCAGCTCAATATTCCTATGGTCTGTCCACCACCAGGTACATCGAAAACTCGCCCGTGGAGATTTTACCTGCGCGCCGCGCGCCGCGGGCTCAAGCAGCGACCGGGGCCTACTCCTGCACCCGCCGTTAACAGCGCGCTCGCCCCGCTCAACGTCAACGCCGTCGAGAACCACGACTGAACCGAGACTTGAAGACGGCCCGAACGCGCCAGCAGCTGCGCGAGGAGCGCCTGGAAGACGCACACAGACGCACTGCCCAGCACCGATTGACTTGCAACCGCCCCCTCGAAAGCGCAATATTGCATGACGCACTTCTGACTCCCAAGCCAAAGCCCCCGACGCCCCGGCCATGGCGCGCGCTGTTCCGCGTTTAGTTTTCGAGGCTTCAGCCGCCGATCTACCGTCATCGACGACAATTACGACGCGCACTTTGTCAGCAGCTCGCGCGCTGGAGAAATGCGGCGCGCGCGTCGTGTCTACGACCTCGCACGTCTACATATGCTACTCTGTGTGCGACGCTGACTATGCAGACTAATGCCCATTAGAGACAGCCAATCCATCTCTCACCGTCAACCTCTCGCAGCGCTTGCACTCCCGCGTTCCTCTTTACTTGCTTTCTACACCGCTGTGGTCCACTGCTCTTCTATATCGCGAGGCCGTGCGGGTCTCTGCCCATGGGCCTTCTCTTGCTCTGACGACCCCAGGGCGCCCGTTCGGAAAGTCCGATCTGTCTAGTGCGATTGTTGCGAGCCTGCAGTCTCGCGTTGAGCCCCGCATGTTTGCGCGGGCTAATTTCGTCAGATGCGGAAGTCACGGCCAGTCCGCGGACCTCGAGGGGGGCGGTCTGCGCGGGGGCGAGGGGGGGCGCCTGCTCGCGACAGCGCCGGCAGAGCAAAATCACCCGCGCCCCTCCCGCGCGGGTCTCTGCGCACGAGCAGCCTCCCAGTGCCAGAGCGTTTCGTGGCGCGGCGCCGGGCGCCAGTCTCGCCGCGCGTCCGGGGGCCGCCCGCGGCGCATCCCCCCCCCCGCCCCCCAGCGCGAGAGGGCTGAGCGCCTTGCGCGCCCCGCGCACCCCCCCTCCCATCTCAGCTGCCCCTTGCGGCAGCGGGAGCGATTGCGCGGGCTCCCCCGGCCCGCGGGGGCTCGGCCCGCGGCGCCTGCGCGCGGTGCCAACTTAGAGGCCGCGCCTCGCAAGTGGGCCGCCCGGCGCCGACGCGCCAGCCTAGGTCATTTAATGTCATCTCTCTTCATGGCCCAGCAACTTGCCATCGCTCGCAGCTGGGCGGGGAAAGAGATATTTAGGTGGAGGTTGGTCGGGGGGCCAAGGGCCCGACGGTCGCACTTCATTTGCCACCCGCGATTCACGGGATAACCAGAGGCATGCTGACTGGACATCCACGACGTACCCAGAGATTGCATGCCAGGGTGCTTCGCCCGTTACAGCTCACCGTGTCTTCAACCACGACGACCGCATGCACTTCCTCAGTGCAGTTAACCTCGCGGCATTTGTGTTCTATTTCCGTTGCTTTCCCAAGCCTCTAAGAGGTCCTCTCGGTCCCCAGGCGCGCTCTTTGTTAGCCATGGCTGGCCCGCATAGTTATCGCGCCACCTGTCGGATGCCGCGCGGGGGTGGGGGTGCGGGGGCGACGGTAGGGTTGCGCGGGGGAGGGGGTGGGGTGGGAATAGTCTGGGAAGGAGAGACGATTGCACTAAGCGATATGGTCATTTTGATTTTCGGCAGGGGCGAGTCTGCTCCCCGTTGTGGTCTGCCGGCTGGTGAATCGTAGCTCTTTTTGCCTTGTTCGTCCATCGCTTTTACCCAGCCCACTTGCCCTCTCACCTCAAGTTCGCTTGCGCTCTTCCAGCATCAGCACTGTTTTTTGCCAGTCTTAGCATTCTTGTCTCAGGTCAATCAGCCCATACTTAACACCAGCTGATTGGGCCAGCCGACAAAAAAGAGTTAGCCGACACTGCCCAAATTCACAATCTGCAGCAACACCGGCTCGCCTACACAGCGCCAGCCTACAGCAATGCGGGGTTCCCAAATGTCTTCAGCTTTCAGTCGCCCGCTCATTAATTGTATTGATGGCGGTGGTGGGGAGTCGGATGGGTCCGCGTGGTTGGGGTGGTGTGATTCTAACGCTACGCCTGCCACAATCTTGTTAGCTGTTGCCTTACTACCCTTGTATGTTTTTTTGAATACGGGGAATTCACTGCCCAAGACCAGGCTAGCTTGTACGTGTTTTTTTACCGTCCTCTCTTTCGCACCGGTCTTCCTTCGGTTATGTATGGGGTAAGGTTTTTTTTTTCTGATGATGGCTTTTCCTTTCCCTGTGATTGGCAGCCATCTTAGGTGCTGTATGCGGTCGCGGGTCCTTCAGCATTTTCCACTTGGCAGTTCGTTTTCCGCACGAGTCGCTGCTATAATCGCTGCCATGTTGTATTACATCGATGCCACGTTTTGTTTGCCGAGGAACGCTGCAATCTGACGATTGAGGTTTCCCTAACAAGGAAAGGAGGAGGAGGAGCTGGGAAGCCGCGCGGGGCGCTTTTCCATCCTGCCGGGCTCCACGGCGGGTGCCCCTGGCGGGCGAGGAGGCGCGGTCGAACCGCGGTTGCACGGGTGGTGCGGGGAAAGAGGGCATAACAAAATGGCACCGTCCTCCTTCATGGGGGGGAGAATCTGCCGAAACCGCCGCTTGTCCTGAAAAGCCCTCGTCGCCACGGATGGATATTCTTCGACATTCTGGTCAAGAATAGGGGAACGAACCATGACACAAACATAACAACTCGGAGGTCCGCGCGGATTTCTCGCGTCGGCGCTGGGCCCCCCCTGGCGGCGCCTCCGGCGCTGCCCCTGGCGCGCTCCGGGCGCCAGGGAGGGTGGTCCAGCGCCGACCCGAGAAAGCCGCGCGGACCTCCAAGTTCTTATGTTTTCTATGTCATGCTTCCCCTACAGAATGCGCCCCAGGAGATACGTCCGGGGAGTAGCTAGGCGAAACAGCAATGACATGAACATAAACATTCGGAGGTCCGCGCGGATGTCGCGCATCGGCGTTGGGCCCCCCTTGCGGCGCCTCCGGCGCCGCCCCTGGCGCCCTCCGCGCGCCAGGGATGGGGGCTCCGACGCCGACCCGAGAAAGCCGCGCGGACCTCCGAGTTTCTATGTTTGTGCCATGCTTCGTTCCCCCCTTTACAGAGTGCGCCCCAGGAGATGTGTCTGGGGAGCAGCGGTGTCGGCAAGTGCTCCTCCCCCCATTCTTCGCACCCGTCGTCACACCCTCTCCCACCTTTGGCATGGCATCTCCGGGGGCGCGCCCGCCCTGCCGGTCGAGCTCTTCTCCGGAGCCCAGCTCGGGATCACGCAGGTTCGGCACAGGTATCAGGAGGAGGAGAAAGAGGAGGAGGAGGAGGAGGATGGACGGTGATCCACGAGGAGGAGGAGGAGGACCCACGAGGAGGATCGAGAAAGATGAGGCAGACGAGGGCGATGAGGAGGAAGGGGCGAGATATCGAGCGAGATTACCGAGAAGACAACTCAGTCGGCACGGTGGGACACGCTGGGTCTCCCGAAGATGCATCATGGGTCGCCTCGTCCTGCTCTCCTGCCATCCGACTCCACTTGCTACTATCTCTCTTGCCCCGTCCTCTGTCGACTACTTCCTCTCCCGTCGAACCCGCATCTGGCGGTGCGGGAAGAGAGGGGACAATACAAAGGGGGGGTCTCAAAACGACCCGTCGTGATTCTCGGCCTCTGGAGGCCCCCCTTGGGCGTCCCCCCCTCCTCCTCCTCCTCCTCCTCCTCCTCCTCCTCCTCCTCCTCCTCCTCCTGCTTCTCCTCTCCTCTCCCCTTCTCTCTCTTCTCTGTCTCTCTTTCTCTCTCTCTCTCTATCTCTCTCTCTTTCTATCCTCATCTTCTCCCCTCCTTTCTGCTTCACCCCCTCCTCCTCTCTCCTCTCTTGCTCTCCTCTCCCTCTCTCTCTTGCTCTTGCTCTCTCTCTCTCTCTCCCATCTCTCTCGTCCCAGTTCCGGACTTTCGAAAGTCTGGGACTCCAGGGAATCCGAGAGGTAGAACCCAGATCTTCGAAAGTCCAGTCTTCTAGCTCTCGATCTTGAGGAAGTCCAGACTTTCGCCAGTCCCAGGTTTAGTTTTCCGATTCCTGGGTGTTCTCTCTCGTGCCCCAGTGCCGCCACAAGTCCCCCCCCCAGGCATGGGGGGATCTCGTCGAGGAGGACCCCTGGGAGGGATGTGTGGGGGCCCAGTTTGAACGGATTTCAATCAGGGTGCGGCCGGGGGAGGGCGTTGGGGAGGAGGAAGGGAGGAGGAGGAGGAGGAGGAGGAGGAGGAGGAGGAGGAGGAGGAGGAGGAGGAGGAGGAGGAGGAGGAGGAGGAGGAGGAGGAGGAGGAGGAGGAGGAGGAGGAGGAGGAGGAGGAGCAGGAGCAGGAGGAAGGGAGGAAGGCGAGGTGGAGAGGGGGAGGAGGTGGAGGAGGTGGAGGAGGTGGACGAGGAGTGCGGGGCGGAGGATGCGAAGGATGCATCATGATGATGGTCCCATGTGCACTTGGCGCCACGTGCACGGGACCGTCGTCATCACCTTCATCAGCCACCTCCGCGCGCGCGCCATCCCTGCTCCTTCAATGTAATGACGTGGATGGGCAGAATGATGAGGCAGGAGAGGAAGGTGGGAAGAGAAGGAAGGGGGAGGGGGGGATGAGGAGCACTGAGGTCGGGGCCGCTCGTGTTCCGTAGAGTCTCGCTGCGCCTTCTTGCCGGCACCTGCGCGCTCGGCAGCTCGGGCCGCCCGCCGCCGAGGAGGACGTCTCGCAGAGCGAGGTCGCCTGGTGGCAGTGGGGCATCGCCGTCGTGTCCCTGCTGGCCACCGCGGTCTCCGTGAACATCACCACGTTCAACGTCACCACCCTCACCGAGGACGGGCCCCCTCGCGCTTTTCCCCACGTGTTTCGTGGGGTTCTGGTCTTCTTCCCTGCCGCGCTGCACCCGCGTCTCACGCACACACCTCCCTCCTCACACCTCCCTCCTCACACCCCGCCTCCCTCCTCCCGCCTCCCACCTTCCTCCCTCCTCGCACCTGCGCCTCCCGCGTCTCACGCACACACCTCCCTCCTCGCACCCTCACCTCCCTCTTCCCTCTCACACAGCGCAGCACCCTCACCAAGGACGGGCCTCCCCGTGCTCTCTTTTCTCTCTCCCGCGGGCTCGTTTGCCGGCCCCTGGGCTCGTGCCGGGGCAGATCCCCGGCGAGGCGGTGCCACGCGTGAAGTCGGGCCTGTTCTTCTACAGGAGGGAGGTCCAAGCATGGTAAAACAAATAGTCTGGGGACGTTTTTCTTGTTGTCATAACCATGTTTGATTAGATTGGACATGTGTACAACATGGTAAAACATGGTAACACAAGTAGTACAATAAATAGTCTGGGGACGTTTTTTTCATAACCATGTTCGATTACATTGGACATGTGTTTTGCTGTTGTTGATGGTTCTTTCAAAATCCGCCTGTAGGGGGACATGCCCGAGCTGGTGCCAAGTGTCTCGTGCACACGGTTGCGGGACGTTGTCTTGCAGAGGGCCTCCCACGTCTGCTCGGTCGCCCTTTTGCGTGCCCTTGCCGTGGCGTCCTCGGGTCCGCGGGTGCAGAGTGCCCGGGCAGGGAAGGATTGGAGAGACGAGCGGCGGCGGCGCGGCGGGCGAGCGGGGGGGGGCCGTGAGAAGGAGAGGGCCTCCTCAGAGGGCGGCGGGGGCTTCTCCGAGGCCCCCGCGCCCTCTGAGCGAGAGGCCTTCGGCGTCCTCGGGCAAGGGCTCGGGGAGCTCCTCGGCCGGCGGCGGGGACCTCCGAGCCTTCCGAGGAGGCCTCCTCCTCTTCGCCTCCCCCCCCCCTCTCGCCTCCTCCTTCGCGCCTCCTCCTTCTCGCCCCCCTTCTCGCCTCCTCGCCTCCTCCCCGCCCCCCTCTCGCTCGCCGCGGAGTGGCGGATCAGCGTTCGCACGGCCCAGGGAGGTGCTCTCTCTCTCTCGCCGCTCCCGGGTGCCCCCGTGGCACACGGCTGTCTGCCCCCCAGGGTGCGTCGGGCGCTTGCCACGCAGGCGAGCGCACAGGGAGGTCTCGTCGGCGAGGCTGCCGGGTCTCGTCACGGGGCTTCCTTGGGGTCTTTTGGCGGGGAAGGCCTGCATCCTCGTGATGTTCCTGATGAGTACCCCTCCCATTTCTTCAGAGTGCGAAGGCGTCACCGCGTTGCTCGAGGATGGTGTAGCTCGTGCTCGGCCACGTGCGCAAATGATGTAAGATGAAGACAGGGTGTGATGGCGAGATGAAGACAATAGTAAAGACCGCGTCGCCGACGAGGAGTCATGGAGAGGGCGCGGGTGGAGGAGGGAGGTTCGAAGGAAGAAAGATGGAAACAAGGAGGGAAAGAGGAAGGATGGGGATGAGATGGAAGGAGGTGGATTCCAACATGTTCTCTCCTTGTTGGCTTGAAAAAAAACGCAACAAACAAAGAGAGAGAGAGAGGGATACATATATATATATATATAGAGAGAGAGAGAGAAAGAGAGAGAGAGAGAGAGAAAGAGAGAGAGCGAGAGACAGAGACAGAGAGAAAGAAACAAGAAAGAGAGAGAGAGGGCGAGAGAGACAGAGATAGACAAAGCTGCGCTACCCAGACAGGGTTACCGTTTCTCTGAGCGTGGGATGCCAGGTTATGGCCTGTGCCTTTAGGATTGACGCTGGGGGTGAACAATGGAGATATTTTCTTGGGGTGGACACACTGGTAGGGGATGGACGCTGTGGGTGAAGATTGCGGGTGGACAGTGCGGATGGGTTGGCGGATGGGCACTGGAAGTGGACACTGGACGAAGGGAACGAGCCTTGGGAAGGCACCCCAAGGGGTTGGCGTTGCGCGCGCGCGCTCCTCTGTCCTATGTTCTTGTTCGCATCCGCAGGGGAGGACGTAAGTACGGGACGTGAAAACGACCACAGCCACTGCTTTTCTTTTGTTGCCGCTTCCCAGCCGGCTGCCAGCAGAAACAAAGCAGTGGTTGTGGTCATTTTCGTTAAGCTTGGCACCAGGGAAATGACCACACCCACTGCTTCTTTTCCGGCCGGCTGGAAGGCGGCGCAAACAAGAAGCAGTGGTTGTGGTCATTTTCCCGTCCCGCAGTAAGGCGCGGGATGGGAACCAGGAGCGGCCACTGGAGGTGGATACGTGGGATGGACACTGGGGACGGACACGCATACCGCGCACACCCTTTTCCTTTCATCAGCATGGGCGGAGTGGCTGCACATACCCCCATTCCCAAACCAGTACTTGCACGTACGGCGTACGGGCTGTAAAGAACTGGCCCTGGTTGTCGGGGCCGCTCGCTGTTGCGTGGACCGCTGTGGCCTTGTTTTGGACAGCCGTGAGTGCCTGCCCCGTTGGCCCGATCTGTCCGGGCCGGCCGATGTTATGTGGACCCTCTTTGGTGGGTGCTTGGACCGATGTGGCCTAGTCCCTTCGGGCCGCTATGGCCTGCGTGTCGCCGTAGCTCGCGGGTGATTGGACCGACGTGTCTGTGGCTGCTTAGGCCGCTACGGCCTGCGCGTCGCCCTCGCCCTTGTTTGCTTCGACTGCTGTGGCCTGCCCGCGCACACGCAGGTCCCCACACACGGGGGTCCGCGCACACAGGGATCACCACACGCCGCCGCACAAATCGGCTGTTTGAGGTCCACGCGCCAGCATCATGACAAAACGTCGGTTGCACGCTGCCTCCTGCAGGCGCAGACGCAGTCCATGGCTCCCGAGCAGATGATGGACATCGCGGGCCTGCCAGGGTGGCGGGCAGCTGACGGCCAACGGAGTCGGCGGTGCGGAGGAGGGGCAGAGGGAGGGAGGGAGGAGGAATAGGGGGGGAGGGGGTCATGATGACGGAGGGGGGGAATGGGGAGGGAGGGGGAATGGGGAGGGAGGGGGAGTAGGGGGAATAGGGGGGGAGGGAGGGAGGAGGAAGGGGGGGAGGCATGATGACGGAGGGACGGATGAAGTGGACGGGAAGGAAGGTGACGAGGGAGGGAGGCGGGAGCAAGGGGGGGGGAGGGAGAAGGGAGGATGGAAGAAGAGAGGGGGTGAGGGAGGCGGGAGGAGGGGGGGGGGCGGGGAAGACGGAGAAGGATGAGGGGGGGGAAGGAATCAGGCAGACGGGAGGCGGGAGGCGAGAGGGGGTTGGTTGGTTGTGAGGAGGGCGGGGAGGCCTCTCTGGGTGCCCTGGCCCCCGGCCCCTCGGACCGCCAGCCGCCCTCCCCCCAGGGGCACGGATTTGGGTCCGTCTCCGAGGGCGGCGCGCTGGAAGGACCCAGCGCAAGGATTTGGAGTCAGGAAGGGCGGAGGAGAAGGATGAGTTGGAGGAGGAGGAGGAGGTGGAGGAGGAGGAGGAGGAGGAGGAGGAGGAGGAGGACCAGTGCAAACCCAGGGATCGTCAACGATGTTGGAATAAACCCTCCCCCCAAGCTCCCTCCTCACAGGCCCCATGTGAGGATCCGTTTCCCCTTAGGGAAGTGCCCCGTTGGGAGACAACCGCTTGAAGATCCTGCAGCGTGCCAACACAGCATTCTCTGGACGTCACCACGAATCACTTTGATTGTTGCGTCTTGAAGATCCTGAATCGCGCCAGAACACCATTCCTGGTACTTCAGCTCCGCGGGTCCGCGCAACCTGCCAATCCTGAATTGTTCTAAAACGCAGTTTCCCGCCCTCAATCCGTGAAACCCTGCTGCTTTTTATGACGAGCGTGCGCGGCGCAAAAGCGATAGCCACATTCTGAAAAGGAGCCGCATCAATCAGTGAAGCTCTTGCAGTTTGTTATGACGAATGTGCACGGCGCTCAGGCGGGAGCCTCATGTTGAAAGCCACCCGCCCTCAATCCGTGAAACTCCTGCGTTTTGTCATGAGGAAGGTGCGCGGTGCTAAGGTGAGAGTCTTATTTTGAAAACGGCCCGCCCTCAATCGGTGAACTTATTGCAACTTTTCTATAACACTGTGCGCGGCGCTATGGCGAGAGCCACATTTTTTTGACAAAAAACAACATCCCGCCCTCCATTTGTTAAGCTGTTGCCAATTGTACGCGTCAGGGTCATAAGTGGTCCAGAACTCTCAGGCGAAACGCCTGGCCCGATCGGCCTTGGGATGCGACAGGGATGCCTTATTGATAAGGAAAAGGAAGGGAGGAAGAGGGATAGGTGGATAAAGAAGATAAGTGGTGGAGCAAGGGAAAAAAACAGCTGGGGAGAGGACGGACATGGGAGGAATTGGAGGAGGATTGAGGAAGAATAGGTGCAGGAAAAGGGGGGGAGAGGAAGAGAAGGAGGATGGGCTGTGGAGGAGGGTGAGGGGGAGTGGGGGGAGGGAGGAGGGTGGAGGAGAGGATGGATGGAAGAGGAGAGGCGGGGGAGGGAGGAGGAGAACAGGATGGAGAAGAGGGATGGACGGAGGGAGTGGGGTAGGGAGAGAGGGACGAGGAGGAGGAGGAGGAGCCCGAGCGCCGGGTTGCCTCGTTGGCCATCTGCCGCTGGCCGCTCGGGGCGGCCCGCACGTCGCCACCAAGAGCATCCCCACCGCCGCGGGGATATTCGCCGTGATCGCCGTCCAGGAGGTCCCTCTCGGGACGATGTGCTGCCGACGACGTCGGCGATGCCTACCCGTCCGATGGCGGCGGCGACGATGTCGCCGACGACGCCGCCGTCGCCGCCGCCGTGCAGAAGGTTGACAGGTCTCTCTCGGGACATGCGCCGTCGCCTCCGTCGCCGTCACCGTCTGGGAGGTCTCTCTCGGGAAGATATGGAGTCGCCACCGTCGGAGAGGCTTCAGGGAGCTGGGGCGTCGCCGCCGTCGGCCTGGCCGTCGTCGTCGTCGTCGTCGTCGTCGTCGTAGCCGCCGTCGGCTTGGCCGTCTCTGGCGTGGAGCCGAGGAGGAGTCCAGCCCACGAGAAGCTGCTGCCGCTGCGGAGTGTGCAGGAGGACGGGCAGAGGGAGGAGGAGGCAAATGCCCCAGGAGGGGAAGAGACACACAGACACAAGGAATCGTCGATGCCCAGGAACCTGTGGGAACATATGGGAAGTGGGGGGGGGACGACGCAAGCCCAGAAGGTAGGGAAAAATCTGGGGAGTCCTGTTCTCTGTGCCTATCTACTCGTGCGTCCCAGGGCCCCTTCCAGCATGCCCCGCGCCCGCCTCCCGCTCGCTCCCTGGCCCCGCGCAGGTCGCGCGGCGCGTCGCCGCGGGCAGCTACGGCGTGGAGCTGAGCCCTCCGTACTTCGTGCCCGTGTGGCCCTTCCCGTCCGTGGGCGCCTTCGGCGCCGTGTCCCGCAGGCCGGCGCCGGCCTCCTCGCCGTCGGCGCCGTCGTTGTTCCCGACGTCCCTTTGGCCGCCGCCGTCGTCGCCGTCGTCGCGGTGGCCGCCGTGCCGCGTCGTCGTTGCCGTCGCGGTGAAGGGTCGAGCAGCGAGGGTCGGGGTCGAGCGTCTCTTGCGCTGCCTGCGCCTTCTGGGCCTCCCTGAGGGGGCGGGGGCTCGGGAGGCCTGCAGGGGTTCCGCTCGCTCCGGAGGAAGGCGGAATGGCAAAGGACAGGGTTGCGCACAGGTCGCGGCGGAATGGCAGAGGACAGGGTTCCGCTGGACCCGATGGCATCCCGTGTCAGTTCAATTCACGGCCAGGGATTCCGGCTCACCGTGCCGCGCCGCTGGTTCTGGCCCGCCACGCATCGGCGGGACATGCCAACCACGCCCCAACTCCTCCGAGAGATCCCGAGCGGCAGTGCCCCGAGCCTTTCCCCGCCTCGGCCGCTCGCGGGGCACGGCGTGCCGCCGGGGCCGCTGCCGCGACACGCGAAGCGGAAGTTCCCCCCACACCTGGCCGCGTGGGTGCAGCGCTCGCGTGGGCGCTGGCGAACCTTTCGGATCCCTTCGGCCGACCTCTGTCTCATGCGGGATGCTGGGGTCAGCGTCGGGGGGAGCGCGACAGCCAGATGGGGGGGAGGGGCAGCCTGTGAAAACGCTAGGGTAAGGACCGCTGTGGTTTCAGGAGGGGCCTGCGTGTTGAGGCCGTGCTGCATGCGGTCAGGAACTTTGGCTCAGCGTGTCGCTCCGACAGTTCTGGCCCGCCACGCGTCGGCGCGACACGGTAACCACGTCCCGGTCCCCCAGCGTCAACGTATAGTGATGGGCTTGTTTTCCACCACCACAAGCTGGAGGAGGGACGGTTGTGGAGGACGAGGAGGAGGACGAGGAGGAGGAGGAGGAGGAGGAGGAGGAGGAGGAGGAGGAGGACCCCCTCCCCCTCCTATTTGTGGTGGTGGTGGTGGAGAGCAAGCCCAGCAGAGAGCTTCTGTTCTCGGCCTCACGCCCCGCGGAGCGCGGGGCGACGCGCCATGCCCGCTTGCAGCGCATGCAGCGTGTCGCCTGGCCGCCGCAGCGTCACGCTGTAGGCAAACCTTCCTCACCCGTGGCCGGCGTGGCCCAGGTCGTCGTCGTCGTCGTCGTCGTCGTCGTCGTCGTCGTCGTCGTCGTCGTCGTCGTCGTCGTCATTCGTCACAACATGCGTCGTCGTCGTCATTCGTCGTCGTCGTCGTCGTCATCGTCGTCGTCGTCGGCGTCGTCGTACTCGTCATTCGTTATGACATGCGTCGTCGTCGAGGTCGTCGTCGTCGTCGTCGTTGTCGTCGTCGTCGTGGTCGTCGTCGTCGTCGTCGTCGTGGATGGTCTTCGGGCCTGGCCGTGGCCGAGGCTCGCCGCGGGCGGCGAAGAGCCCCTCTTTTGCTTTGAAAAGCCAGCGCTCCCTGGGGCACGGCGCGGCGGCCGCAGGCCTAAGTCGGGCGTGTCCCCCCCACAGGGGGATTTTCCGACGAAAAATAAAAAAGTATGGTTTGATCTTTCTGGGTGCATTTTGGGGGTATGTTTCATCTTTCGTCGAAAAGCCCCCTGTATGGGGGACAGGCCCGACTTATTTGTAGACCAGGCGTGCGGTGCCTGCAGAGTGTTTTCCAGTGCGGGGTCCCCAGAAGGCCCCAGACACGATCGCGCCGCCAAAGGATTAGGCCGGGCGGTGCTTTAGTATCTTCGGCCCCTGGGGGTCCTCGCCGTGCCCCGGGACCGTCAAAAAACGACTCAGGATGAAAAAC